ATCATCCTGGGGCTTTAAAAATTGTAGAAGGAACTATAGTGAAACCAGAAATTCTTCCTGTATATGCTCCGATTGCTCAACAAGAGAAATATAATGAAGCTGTTAAGAAGTTTCAAAATGCAAACACTATTGCTATGATGGTATTAACGAATTCCATGATGGAAGAAACTCTGCAAAAAGTTATGAGATTTCAGACTGCTAGAGAAGTATGGTTGGAATTACATAAGTTATTTGAAGCATCATCAGAAAATCAATTGTATAATATATGCATGCAGTTTTTTCAATTCAAGTGGAATGAAAATGATAATATGGTGGCTCATCTTTCCAAATTAAAAAACTTATGGAATGAGTTGAATTCAGGACTTGAAAAGAAAAATGAAAATAAGTTACCTGACATGCTACTCAATTGCAAGATTTTAGATGTCTTACCAGGACAATACCATTTGTTTAAGTCAAGTTGGTTACTCTTGGGTGAAGACAAAAGAACAGTTGATGAATTAACAGCACAGCTTTGCTCTCATGAAAGAGAATTTAAGTCATGAGAAAGGCAATACAAATGAACAAGTGGCATTAGTAATGTCAAAATCTGAAAAACAAAAGCAATATAAAAAAGACAAATTCAGAAGAAAACCAAGAAAAGAAGATATTTGCAATTATTGCAAAAAGAAAGGACACTGGGAAAAAGATTGTAAACAGTGGATTGCTGATGGAAGACCACACAAGAATAGGTTAACGAAAACCAATAAAGGAAATACAGGCAGTGTAATACTGATGTCCATTGACGAAGAGGCTAAGACTGATCAAACATCTTTTTGGATTGATAGTGGAACTACAAGACATATCATGAATTGTTTCACATACTTTATTGACTTTATGAAGTTTGATAGTCCCTGTAGCATCAAGGCTGCTGGAAAAGAAACTTTAGTTGCTCTTGGTAAAGGTACAGTATGTGTCAAAACAACTATTGGTAGTAAAATCCAAAGAATTTACCTTAAAGATGTTTGGTATGTCCCTGAGATAAACAGAAATTTATTTTCTTTACTTGCTGCTCAAGATAGAAATCCGAATAGTAAATTTATTTCAACAGTTACAGAATGCTGGTTAAAGGTTAATGGTCAAGTAGTGCTTTTTGGAACTCGCAAAGTATATGGTACTTTATACAAGGCAGCTATCGAACCTATTATGCCTGATAAAATTATAGAAGTGCATGCTGCTGAAGCAGACAATTCCTTGTTAGAGCTATATCATCAGAGATGGGGACATCAAGATAAACGTCACATTAAGAACATGCTTGAGAAAGAATTAGGAATTAAAATCCCATTTGAAAGAAAATTGTGTGAACCATGCATTTTTGGCAAAGCACACCGTTTACCGTTTGGCATAAGAAAGCCAGCCAGCAAGCCTGGTGAATTAATTTCAGCTGATGTCTGTGGACCTTCTGATGAATCTTTCCAGAAGAAAAGATACTTAGTTGTGTTAAAGATAGCTACACAAAGTTTCGTTATGGGTATTTTATCAAGGAAAAATCTGCTGTTGTAAATATGTTACAACACATGCTTGCACACGCTAAAATTTTAGGACATCCAGTCAAAGAATTTCTCAGCGATAATGGAGGCGAGTTTGACAATGACAAAGTGCATGCTATTTTACATTCTGAAGGTATAACTCGAAGACTAACAGCACCTTATTCTCCTGAACAAAATGGCTCTAGTGAAAGAGACATACGTACAATAATCAAAATGGCAAAAACATCTAAGTTCTCAAATTCTGAAGCTCATTTTCCTGCAGTAATGTGGGCTGAACTAGTCAACACTGCCATATATGTACTAAACAGAACTGGCAAATCATCAGTAGAAGGCATGAGTCCTTATGAGCTATGATTTAAAAAGAAACCTCGAATTAAGCATCTTCGTATAATAGGATCTGTGTGTTATGCCCATATTCCTAAACAAAGAAGAAGGAAAATAGATAATAAGGCTACAAAAGCTTATTTAATTGGTTATGATGGAGACGAAAGATACCGTCTATGGATCAAAGAAACCAATAGTGTGATCTTTTCACGTGATATTATATTTAACGAAAAGCTCACAAATTGTGAAGAAAGGGTGCAGTTACCTATTCAAGATCAAGATAGCCTAATTTCTGGCTCTGAACATCAACAAAATTCAGAAAAATATAAGTCAGAAAAGTTTCTTTGTGAAGAAGATAATTCAGAAGAAGAATACAACAAAGAAATATCTGGAAATATATCAGAAGAACATTTTGAAAGACAAGAATGTGAAGATATTAATTTGCAAAATAATGCATAGTCAAGATACCTAAGAGATAGAGCTGACCTGAGAAAGCCAAAGCGTTTTGAAGATTATATAATGATAAGTGAAGCTTTTATTATTGATTCTGAAGAGCCCGAATCTTATGAAGAAGCGATCAACTGTAAGCAAAGTGTTAATTGGAAAGAAGCTATGGATTCAGAGATGAAATCATTGATAGAGAATGAAACATGGAGTTTAGAAAAATTACCAAAAGATGCTAAAGCTATACCATGAAAGTGGGTTTATAAGATCAAAAGGAATCCTGATGGATCTATTGATAAATTCAAGGCTAGACTTGTTGCCAAAGGATGTACTCAACGTTTTGGAGTTGATTATGATCAAACGTTTAGTCTTTTAACAAAGTTAGGAACTATTCGTTCAGTTTTGAGCATCGCAGCTAATGAGAAAATGCATCTTTCTCAGTTTGATGTCGGTTCAGCATTCTTATATGGAAAACTTGAAGAATCTAGAAGGATATACTGACGGTTCGAAGAAAGTCTGTAAGTTGAAACGCAGTTTGTATGAACTTAAACAATCATCACGCTGCTGGAATAAATATTTTGGAGATTTTGTGTCACAGCTGGGCTTCAAGACAAGTGAAGCTGATCCATGCTTATATATAAGAAACAATAACGGCAAGAAGCTAATTGTATGTTTATATGTAGATGATGGTTTAGTAGCATCAACAGATCTACAAGAATCTGAAAAATTTCTCAGAGAACTGAAGTCGAGATTCAGAATCACAACTAAACCAGCAGTATACTTTCTTGGACTTGAAATTAAACATCTTGAAGATGGAAGTATTAAAATTAGTCAGCAAGCTTATGCAAGAAAAATTCTTCAAAAATTTGGGATGGAAGATTGCAAGCCAGTGTCAACTCCTATCCTGAATGGAAAGGTCTAACTGAAAAGAAAAAGGAAGATAAATCAAACAGAGAAATTTTTCCTTATAGAGAAGCTGTAGGAGTTTTAATGCTTTAATTTATCTTATGTTAGGTACAAGACCAGATTTAGCTTACTTGTGTTGGCATTCTATCACGTTACCTTTTGAAAATCCTTCGAAAGATGAATTGGAAAAAGTGAAACGTGTATGTCAGATACATAGCAGGTTCTCTAACTAAAGGTATTACATAGCAATAATAAATACACAAACCAGGAATTCTAGAATGCTATAGTGATGCAGATTTTGGAGGCTGTCAAGAAACAGGGAAATCAACGAGTGGAAGTAGTGAATATTATATAGTGGTGGATCGCTATATCATGGATTAAGCCAAAGGCAATCAGTTGTTGCAACCTTCGACGAACTGAAGCAGAAGTAATTGCAGCTTAGTGAATGTTCTAGAGAAAGTAGTATTTTTATAGTATGTTAAAGCGACTTATTTAGTGATGTAACCAAGTTACGTGAAACTCCAGTAATTCAAGTAGACAAAACGCCGCTGCACAAGTGAGACTTGTCCACAAAATCCTGGAGTTTTATCGACGCACAAAACACATTGATATCAAGCACTTTTTCATACGAGAGAAAGTTCTAGAAAAGGAAATCATCGTGCTAGCAGGTACCTACAGAAGGCTCAAGTTGCTGACATAATGACTAAACCTTTATTTCAAACTGAGACTGTTAATTCTTTGTGATAAGATGGGACTTTTGTGACTTTTTCTTTTAATTTATTATTATTATTATTTTTACAAGGGGAAGTATTAAAGTATGTTAATAAAAATAATAATATAATATATAGTTTAGATAAGTTCTGGCAACAGTGAGTGTTGTCGTCATCAGGAGATCATGCTTCGCGATACCGTCGTTCAAAAAAAAATTGCTATAGTTTGTAATTCCAATAAAAGCATCGTATTTTTGCTCTGCTATTTGTTTTCTCTTTATTTTTAGAAATACCGTTTTAGGTTATGTATTTTTTAAGAAATACTTTTTTAGGGATTACCATGAGGAGTTGGAAAAGCAACAGATGAGGTGACAGGAGAAATGAAAAATAATGAACTTAATTAACTAATAATTAATTAATTGTGTTAGTGGGAGTTGAGATAGAGAAGGAGGGAACAGTAAGGGAATTAATGTGAAATTGGTATGGAGTTGTTAGCGCACAAGAGGAGTTAGAAATTAGAGAAATAAAAATTATATAATGCAACAAAATTAGAATTAGCTGTATGCAGTAAGCTGGCAAATTATTGATTATATATTACAGAAAATTAAAATTATATTAATATGTAAAGCACAATAAATGAGAAATATAATACAAAAATAATGCAGAAGATTAAAGTTATATTAACCGAGGTGCACAAAACTGTATAATTATAATGAATATACAATGCAAAGAATTTTTAAATTAATTTATGCCACGAAGCTTGCGTAATGCTGATGGCGTAGTAATTGGAAACCTAAACTCTGAGAACTAAAACTTTTCTAACTCTACAACCAAAACCTTCTTCTCTGTGAGCTTCTATACTGAATAACTAGGCACTTTTAGCTTCTTTCCCTATGCTGCTAGGGCGTAGTTTGTCTGTGCTTGCTTCCTATTGCAAATGTTTCAAAAATGTAAATGTTTTGCAAATAGGTGTTAGTTTGCTACATTTATATTTACCATATTGGCAACACCAAGCTTTTTCTCTGCATGCGAGCTATGAATGCCGTTGTAATGTTGTGCACGTGTTTTTAAGTTTCAATAAAAAATGTGAAAAGATACGTTTCTTATTTTTCGACTTGCTTCTTTATATGATATCCATTTATTTAACATGGTAGCAGTTCTCGTGGTTTGTGAATATGAATGAAGAATTTAGTAGTTATAATTTGTTTTAAAAGTTACCGGTACTAGCGTAAAAATGGCATGTACAAGAAGCAGCGATATCGGCATACCGCTATTTGATGGTTCGGACTATTTTAACTGGAAAGTGCGTATGATGAAATTTCTTCAATTTAAAAAGTGTAAAGATGTGGTTCAGCGAAAAGTCAGTGAAAACGATGACGTGGAAAAATGGGAAGAAAAGGATATCCAAGCTACAAATTACATTTACGGCACCATAACAAACAAGCAATTGGAATATATTCACGAGTGTGAGACTGCATTTGATATAATTACGAAATTTGATGCAATGTATTTAAAAACTTCAACATCTGTACAAATTGTTTGTCGAAATAACTTAGAATGTGTGAAACTGAAAAATTATCCTGATGTAAATATATTTTTCAATGATTTTGAGAAGTATGTGAACGAACTGAAACATGCCGGCGCCACCGTAACGGAACAAGAAAAATTGAACTATATGCTAAGAGCATTACCTTCAAATTACAGTCACATTGGTGACTTAATAGATGTATTACCAGAGAAGGACAGAACAGTCGATTACCTAAAGAGCAAAATCAAATCTAAATTACTTGAAGAGAAAAATGATTATAAAGATTGTGCACCAGCAGAAAAATCAAATGCGTTCAAAATTGAAACAAGCAAATTGGGTCCACAAGGGAATGTCTGTTATAATTGTTGAAAAGCTGGTCACTTTAAAAAGAATTGTTGGCATATCCATCAAAGGAACTATCGTGGTAATGGCTCCACTAATTATCGTGGTCAAAGATTTTCAAATAATCAAGGACGTAGTCGTGCTTTTAGTGGACATCGTGAACGTGGAACATACTCTAACCAGAGAATAAACAGCCATCAAGGCAATAGTTTTCACACCACTGTTATCGAAAGTAACATGACAAGTGTCAGTGAAAATTCTGTGACGAATAAAAATGAAATCAATTGGTTACTGGATAGCAGATGCACAGACCACATTATAAACAGTGATGAATATTTCAAAGAGCAAGTCACTTTGAAGCATCCTATTAAAGTGAAAGTCAGTGACGGAAGGATTTTGAAAGCTACAAAGGTTGGCAATATAATAGTTTTTTTCCCCAGTATATAACTGTTAATCTATCATAACATTGAAGAATGTATTTGATGTAAAAGAAATGAAAGCAAATGTATTAAGTTATTCGAAGATTACTGATAATCATAAAATAGTTTCAAAAGAAAAGTTCTCTAAAATATATGATGTCAATGGTTCATTAGTAGCAATAACAAAGAAAGAAGAAAGATTATATAAAGTAAAGAGTTATGTTAAAAATAGTAAAATATTTGCAAATTTGACCAACAGTAAGTTAACGTTAAAAAAAAATTGCACCGTTCATTTGGACATGTAAATTTTAAATATCTGGATATTATGTGCAAAGATCAGCTATTAGAAGGAATCCCTAAAGAAATAGAAACCGAATATATGAAGTGTGCCATATGTATTGAAAATAAAATGCACAATTTACCATTCAAGAATAATAGAAGAAAAGCAGAAGGTATTCTGGAGATTATACATACAGATGTAAATGGACCTCACAGAACAAGTGGATGTAATGGTGAGTAATACTTTGTGAGAAACATTTTATTTATTTATTCTCAAATTCTTGATTAATTTACAACAGCCTGCACTCACGGCGTCCGTTAAGAAGACTGCCATTGACCCCACGGCATAGACACCAACGTTTAGAATGTTGCTGGACTGGAGCAATGTGGATAACAGAATGGTGAAACGTCTTGTTCTCAGATGAGTCACGCTTCTGTTTATCCAGTGACAGTCGCCGCATATGTGTGTGGCGTCGATGAGACAGATCTAATCCGGCAGTAACCGTGGAACGCCTCACCGATACTTGGATAATTTACTGCGGCCGGTGGTAATCCCCTACCTTCAGGGGCTGCGTAATGCAATTTTTCAGCAGGATAATGCTCGACCACACAGTGCTCGCATCTGCCAACATGCTCTGCAAGGTTGCTTCACAGATGCTTCCCTGGCCATTTTACTCTCCTGACCTGTCACCAATCAGATATGTGTGGGATGTGATTGGACGCCGTTTGCAGACTCTGTTCCTGCCTCGTTCAGAAGATGAACTGTGGCAAATGGTTGAAAGGGAATGGAGAGCCATCCCTCAGGACACCATCCACACTCTTATTGACTCTATGCCTAGATGTGTTTCTTCGTGCATCGCTGACCACTGTGGTCCTACATCCTACTGAGCCGACGCCGTTCTCGCTCTGTATTCTGACTACCATTTTGAAATAAAGATCACTTGTTGCTGCTTGCTGTCTCTGTCTTTTTTCCAAATTTCATCACTTTCTGACCACTCCTTCTTAGTGTTGCATTTTCAATGTCGAGCAGTGTAAATAATCAAAAGAGAACGAAAAAAATAAAAATGAAACAGTGAGTTGTTCCAGGGTACTCTCCCCCTAGTGCCAGACTTTCTGTCTAACAGTGGTAATGCTCTGCTTACAGGAACAAGTGTAAACAAATCAAAATGTGTTCTTTAAAACAGGGAATCTGCTTTATTAATGATAATATGGGTAACCTACATCCAGTCAAAACATTACTTGATGGCAGGAGTACTTCATCCTTTAAACACAGAGAGTGTGCCAATAGATTCCAACTGAACTCAGATAAGGTAAACATCGTAATTTCCGGATTAAATGATTCCTTGTTTACAATTCAATCGAGAGAGTTTCGACATGCATTAGTAATAAAGGTAAAAGTTATGAGACATTTAGACCTATTAGTAGTATCAAAAATCACGCAAGATTTGATTCCTTCAAGGAAAATTGATATTAAAATGCAAGATTTTTGTAATATAAAATTAACTGATAAGAATTTTAATGTTCCAGAACATATAGAGATGCTTTTAGGATGCTTTTTTCCTTGAAATATTAAAATCTGACCAAATTCGCTACGAAAACTCGAGTCTTATTTCCAAAACAGCAGGTTTGGGTTTATTGTGTCGGGAAGCGTTACAAAAGAAGACAGAACCGCGTACATTATGGATTAATGAAAACAACGGATGATTTAAAACAAGCAATGAGAAAATTTTGGAAATAGAGAATGTTGAAACAACCATTCCAAAAAATAAAGAAACAGTAGTATGTGAAGAACATTGTGTGCAAACTCGTAAGCGGAATGAGGAAGGGAGATACATTGTAAAAATGCCACTAAAGGAAGACCGTATTTGCTTAAGAAATTCAAAAGATTTTGCCCTTGAAAGGTCAAATTCCCTAAAAGATTAGTGAAGAACCCTGAGTACTTAAGTCTGTATCAGGATTTTTCAAAGGATGAAGAGCTAGGGCATATGACTGAGGTTAAAGAGAAAAGTGAGCCTAGTGTAGTGTACTATATGCCACATCTTGGAAAATATCGCCCTGAAAAAAAATAACAGCTAAATTAAGGACAGTGTTTAATGCATCATTTATAACATCAAATGGAATTTCACTAAATTCCTTACAACATAATGGAGGGGTAATTCAAGATGATCTCTTTGGAACCATGTAGATTTCAAAAGAACCTATTCGCATTTATGACAGATATCAGAAGAATGTCTTGATTGAAATTAACCCTAAACAGAGATGCTTGCAGCGAATACTGTGGGAAAAAAGGTGATGCACCTGTGAAAATCTCTCAGCTTAATACTGTAACCTACAGTACAGTTAATGCTCTGTACTTAGCTATGAGAATTTTTAAGCAATTATCGATTGATGAAGGTCCAAAATTTCCATTAGCTACACCAGTCTTACTTAAAAATTTTTATATGGACGATGTGCTTAGTGGAGCGCAATCTTTGAGTACAGCTAAGGAGCTTAAATCTCAGTTAATTGCAGTTTCTGTTTTAGAGTGAAACTCAATATTGACATAGTTGTCACCAAACGACAGATATTGTCCACAATTGCAAGATTGTTCGACCCAATTGGTTTACTAGGGCCAATCATAAGTAAAGCCAAATTATTCCTCCAATGGTTGTGGTTGTTAAAGCTGAATTGGGATGAACCACTGCCTAAAAAGGAAGCTGATGAATGGAAGAAATACTCTACTGAACTGGAAGTTTTAAGTAAAATAGAAATTGAAAGGTTTATTCTTATTGCAGAAGTAGACTATGTGGAACTTCATGGATTTGCAGATGCCTCTGAGGTAGCATATGGAGCAACCATATATTGCAAGTGCCATTCGAGAGATGGAGAAGTGAAGACAAGGCTAGTAATGAGTAAATCCAGAGTCTCGCCTATTAAACGAGTTACTATTCCGAGACTGGAGCTTTGTGCGGCAGTCCTACTTGCAAGGTTGATGGTTAGAGTAATATCTGCATTAGAGATTCCTGTGAACAAAGTTTATCTGTGGAGTGACTCCATGATCATACTTTCATGGATACAAAGAGAGCCTTACCAGTTGAAGACTTTTGTTGCAAATTGCGTGGCAACAATTCAGGATTTGACTAATGATCATCAGTGGCGTAATGTGTCATCAAAGAATCCAAGTAATCTTGTATCTCAAGATTTGGACCCAAGTAAACTTCTACAAAATGATAGGGGGTGGAAAGGCCCTCTGTTCCTGAGAAATGACGAGTATCCAAATAAAAAGATTCCAGTGGAAGTCATAGCAAAGGACTTTCCAAACGAACTTAAAATCCTTAGTGACTCTAATTTTTCTTAATGTGAAAGCTAACCCTTTCATTGAGGATTTCTTAAATTTATGTAATAGTTGCACTAAAAGTATTCGTGTTTTAAGTTTTATTTTTAGGCTTGTAAACACTGCAAAGGAAAGAACAAAGTTTCATGTCCTCTTCAGAGCACAGAATTTAAATTAACCGAACTTAAACTGATTAAGACGATTCAAAGTCTTGAGTTTAAGAAAGAAATTTTAAGGATTCTTCAAAAAGATGGTAAGGTACCTCCAGATAGTAAGGTAAGAAGTATTTTTCCATTTTTAGATCAGTGTGGAATTTTACGAGTTGGAGGCAAATTAGCTAATTGTGAGTTGAATTTTGATAGAAAATTTCCAATAATCTTACCAAAGAATCATAAGTTGACTAAGCTAAGTATTGTGATGTTTCATAAGAAATACATGCATATTGGCTCACAAGGCTTACTGTCTATTGTTAGACAAGGGTCTTGGCCCTTAAATGGGCTCAACATTTGCAGGAAGATAGTACATGAGTATGTCGTATGCTTCAAAGCAAAACCAGTGCCCTGTCAACAACTTATGGGTCAACTCAATTAAGAAAGAGTCAGCCTGAATTTTCCGTTCAATTGTGTTGGAGTTAATTCTTATTTTATAAAATACTCGCATCAGAGAAAAGGTCGCCTTAACAAGATGTATGTGTGCATTTTCGTTTGTTTTGTTATTAAAGCTTGCCATCTTGAGTTGATAACAGACCTGTCTAGTCAAGCATTTATTGCAACCTTAAAGCGTTTTTTTCAGCAGGAGAGGCAAGTGACTCACATATTTTCAGATAATGCAACCAATTTTGTTGGTAGTAACTCAGTTAAAGAAATTGAATAGGCTAGTCAGTAAACCAAATGACGAATGAGCTAATTATTTATCGAGTGAGAGTATTAATTGGTCTTTCATTTCCCTAGAGCTCCCAATCATGGAGGTCTTTGGGAGGCAGATGTCGAATCTGTTAAGTTTCACTTGAAACGCATTCTGAAGCACAGGACTTTGATATCTTGACATCAGGCCATTTCCTGATAGGCAGACCTATCATGGCTATTGCAGAACCTAATATTTTAAATGTAATGATAATAGATTGAAGAACTGGCAAAAATTGACTGAAATCTTGCGAACAATATGGAAGTTCTGAAGAAATAACTATTTGAGTGCAATGCAAGGAAGAACTAAATGGTTCTTTGAAAAAAGAAAATATAAAAATTGGAACTATGGTAATTTTAAAGACTGATGGTATTCCTGTATGTAACTGGCCTCTCCGCAGTAGAGATCTTTTTAGGTAAAGACAATTAGTCGAAAGTAGTTTCAGTGAAAGCGAAAACCGGTATTTTTAAGAGATCAATTAATAAAGTTGTGTTTTACCTATGCCAAATTAAAACAAAAAGTGTCGCAACCCCCGCAGTATAGAATGAAGTGCTTCCAATTTAAACTCCGGGCATCTGCGCATGCCCAGAAACTGATTACTCTTCTTTTTGATTTATTTGCTATGTTGTTTTTTTGTTAAGTTTCTCCTGTATTGAATCTGAGTGCGTGTTAAAATGATTAATAAAATGGTGTATGTAAACTTTTAGTAACTTTTTGGATTTTTCACTATTCCCAGACTGGAACACCTAGCATGTTTGATTTCTGCTCGTTTAGCTGTTAACGTGAAGATAGATTTAAAAAGACCAGATATTGAAACTCATTACTGGACGGATTCTAGCAATGCCTTAAGTTGGATCAAACGAGATGAGCATTGGACAACTTTTGTCGCCAATAGGACACAGGAAATAAGAGATCTGTCTCACCCTGATGATGGGCATCATGTTCTGGGAAGTCTTAATCCAGCAGATATTCCTTCTAGAGGACGTTCTGCTAGATAGATACCTTATTGAATCAAGAGGGTTACAAGGGCCAGAATGGTTAAAATCTCTAGCAGAGGAATGGCCAAAATCTCAAATCGTAGCTGATGAAGAAAGTTTAAATAAAGAGAGAAGGAAGATGGCCATGATCAATACTAAAAGGGAGATACCCTGGTACCACAATAGGTTTTCTTCCTACTCGAAGATAGTTAGAACGTTTGCCTGGATGAAACATTTCGTAGCAAATGCCAAGAAGCCTAAGTTAAAACAGTTCTATCAAGATTTGACTGTCAAGGAAATAGAACAAGCTGAACTGATATTACTAAAAGGCATACAACAAGAAGCTTTCGGCTCAATAACTAATCCCATTTTGAAATATCTGTATGAACTTGATGAAGATGGCTTAATCCGTGTTACCAAACGTCTCATACAATGAGATGACACTAACAGTTTCAAGCGGCCAATAATATTGCCCAGCAAACATCCAGTTGTTCATTTGCTTATCTTGGAACATGATAGAAGATTGAGCCATGCTGGAGTACAAATGTTAATGACTCAACTGAGAGAAAACTTCTGGATATTAAGGTAATTTAGACTGAAAAACTGTTCGTGAAGTTTTGAGATATTGCAAGAATTGTAGAAGATTTGAAGTTTCCAATGCTGAGGTTATGCCTGCCCCTTTGCCAGAAAATCATGTAAAGAATGCAGCTGCGTTTGAAATAACAGGAATTGATTTAGGAGGGCCATTATACTTAAGAAATGGAGATAAAGCTTGGTTCGTTCTTTTCACATGCGCTGTGATTCGAGCAGTGTACATAGAGTTAGTACAATCACTGAGTACCGAACCTTTTGTTTAGCGTTTCGAAGATTCGTATTGAGAAGAGGAAGATCCTTGTATGTTTATTCTGATAATGGTACAAATATTGTAGGAACTAATAATATTTTCCACCAAATAGAATGGCAAAAGGTACAGGAATTGGCTTAAGCGAATTCAGTGGATTTTCATCCCTCTTACCGCTGCCTGGTGGGAGCGACTAATTGGAATGACTAAAAGAATCTTAAGAAGAAATCTGGGACGAGCTCGACTACATTATGATGAACTGGCTACCATTTTATGTGAAGCAGAATATATAATCAATAGCCGTCCCTTGACTTATCTGTTAGAGGATGTTGAAGACTTACAACCTTTAACCCCATCTTTATTTTTACAAGAAATACGTACTGAATCTCTCCCTGAATTAGATGTTTTCGATTTGAATCGTTTAATAAAACGTTTTCATTATCGTCAGAAACTTAAACAAGACCTGATGAAAAGATTTCGGATAGAATACCTGTGTCAGTTGAAATCTTATTCCAAGTGCAAACACCTAACCACCCTTAGAGTAGGTCAAGTTGTTCTCATTGGAAGTGACAACAGCAAACGAATAGACTGGCCTATGGGCAGAATACTTCAACTTTATCCTGGACAAGACCAAAATACTCGTGTTGCTCGCATAAAAACTATGAATGGTGAACTATTAACACCCTACCTAAGACTTTATCGTCTTGAGGTTGAAGACAGTCCAGAATGTCCTGTGGTAAAAATCAGATATGAACGTATAGTAAAACCAACTCGGAGACTGAATTTGTAATTTATCTTATTGAGACTTTGGTCGCATTCCTACACCAGAATGCAAGGTGGAAGGAAATGTTGCAACCCCCACAGTCTAGAATGGAGTGCTTCCAATTTAAACTCCAGGCATCTGCACTTGCCCAGAAACTGATGACTCTAACTTCTTTTTGATTTATTGCTATGTTGTTTTTTCGTTAAGTGTCTCCTGTATTAAATCTGAGTGCGTGTTAAAAGGATTAATAAAATGATGTCTGTAAACTTTTAGTAGCTTTTTGGATTTAAGAAGACAGCCTTCCCAGCGTCAACATCTATTTACGAGTAAAGAGACAAGGTAAGAAGATTTAAGATTATTCCATTGGTTTCAACTGTTTAATTAGAATTTAGATTGCTCATGAAAAAAAGTATGTTTGCAATTAATTATTGTATTTTTTTATTATAGTTGCTAATGTTATTATGTTGATGTTTACAATTATTTACCTCTATTTTGTATTGTGACACTGTGTAAAATTCTCATTTTAAGATTTACAATTTTGAATGATTACATCATGTCAAGGCGGGCGGTATGTTCATTCTATGCACGCATCTCAATACTTGTGTCTGTGCATGCGTCTTGAGCTCTTGAAGTTTTTTTATGTGAAATTGTGACTTGAGAGTCTCTGGGAGAATTCCTGGCTTCGAGTGGCCATGAACGGTGTAAATTAATGAGAATAAAGGTGTTAAACATAACTGCAGTCCACTTTGAATATATTATAGTGTGTGTGTAAACAGTACTTCCTTAACTCCATACAAGAAAGTAAAAAGTGCAGCCACTATCTTCTCCAAGGGCATAAAAGGAATGTGTTCATCCAGTTGTGGTTCTGTGGTTTATCCAGTTGTTATGTCTTTATCCAGCTGTGAAAGTGAATATTTTAATCAAATCTTTCTCTTAATACGTTGCACTATCAAAAAAGGCTTATACATGTCACTTTTACGTCCTTGTACGAAGTAAAGGAAGTATTGTAATCCTGAAAATTTTAGGGTGTCATATTTCAATGAAAATATCCATTTTGACCGCTATCAAATGCAATTTAATGATATTTTTGCGTGACATCTCCACTAAGCTTAGAATAAAGGACTCTTTTCCCCCAAATGGATTACAAAATTCATTTAAAATGAATTTAGAAGATATTTTTTCATAATGTCTGTGCATATGTATCTTACATAACTCAAAAACGAATATCCTCAGAACATTGAAATTTTGTATGTAGGACATGTAGTTGTGCACCTTCCTTTTTGGTTGCAAACGGCCGCACCAAAAGTGTGTATTATTATGTGTTGGTAAATTTCGCTTTTTTTGCTTTAAAAGTGATTGAATTATGTTCTTATCTTCCAGTTAAAATTTTTATGCCTTTAGTTAATCTGCATGCAGTAATTGTAGAGTTATCAATAATTTAAAAATTGTTTAAGTGTGGCTAAGCCTAATTTTTTAACTATAGCAGCTATATTTGTTTGCACTTAGCAGAATTTTGAATTAAGTTCAACTTCAATGTCTTTTTGCGAAGTGGGACCAAAAGTAAGCTTTCAGTTTTGTGCACCAAAAAATTTGCCTTCTTGCCCGCTGGCTGAATTGCTAGTTTTTGCGTTGAAACTCTAAGTTTAAAAGCATATTTTTCAATTGTTTTTAACTGTATTTGATGTTTTATATTTTTCAATTTTTAATAAAGATATGGTGTGTGTGTGTGTTGCAAAGTGAGAACTGAATTGATTGAATGAGAAATATATCTCTAATGGAATTTGAGGAAATAAGTTAAAATGAAATGCAGAAAAAAAATGCGTATAATTTAAGGAATCTTCCGTGTGAAGTCATGTAGTGCTCACATCAGATTTTTTAAATTCCACTGTTTAGAATCAAAAACTGTCTACTGCAATAAAAGTTGGAGTGGTTTAAAAACTTTTATTAAACTTGAGTAGAACTTAGGTGTTAAATCTTTTAAATGCATGTTTAGTTATTAATGCTACATAACCTTGTGTAAACATTTATCATAAAATATTTATGATTTCTTCATTAATTAGCATAATACTTACATAATGAATGCTGCTGATCTGTAAAAATTTTCACTGCATAGTGTAAATTGTGATTGCTATTGAAATTTCTCTTTATCATACAATTTGTCATGAAATTTCTATTTTGTCCATAGTTTGCTGCTGTGATGAGCCTATTTCTCAATTTGCATATGCAATCACTGTTTTAACTTCATCTCAAACATATGGTAGAGTTCGCTCCTTCTAGCTATGCATACATATAGCATACCTGCCAACTTTTACGAATTTTTCGTAATTTTTACGGAAATGCGTTAGTCTTTACGATTTTACGATTTTTTTCCTTTTTCAAGTGTTTTTAGTGATTTTTGTCGAAATTTTAGAATTTTTCGCCAATTCAGCGATTTTCGCCAATCGCATCGTGTTTTACCGCCAACTACCGATTACTTCGAATCCAGTAACCTGCGGTTTCTCCCAACTCGCCGCTTAACCAGCCAATCCAATGCGCTGAACTTGTTTCTCCCACTCTTTTCTTTGTGGGCGCCAGATTATTTTTTTTCGCGTTTGCTTCAGCAGCAAGGGAATTACTCAGCGAACGTGGATTGTCGCATTTTTTTTTTTTTTTTGTTGTTGTTGTTGTTGTTGTCTGCACGTGCTACGAATTTTCTTAATACGTCGTTGTTACGAAATGAGTTCAAAAAAACCATATTCTCAAATTTTCGGCCTGCCTACAAAGCCGAATTTCCAACAATTAAAGAATCCTTCAAAAGAAATAACTATGCATTTTGCAACGTGTGCGTGTGTGACTTCATAATAAGTCATGGTGGAATAAGCGACATTGTGAAGCATTGTTAAGTCTAAAAAGCATTAATGTTAGCAAGTTAATGCTTCGGCTTCGACAACGTCAAAGAAAGTGGATGATTTTTTTTTGAAATTCGGGTTTTCATCCGCAGAGAACCTGTTGGCGCTTCGGGAAAGAACCCGTTGCATTTTTACTCGCCAAGCTCGCGGTTCATCGACCATGAGCCGCGTAAGCGTGATATTTATTATTTTGTACACGTGATTTTTAGTGTATGTAAATTCAAGTTAGCATACAAAACAATATATTAAGCATATGGTAGTAAAAATTCACAGATAATATGCATGTAGATGTAAAACTAAACGGTTAAACGTGATATACGGAAATAAATTTGTATTAAATTCAAGTTAGCACAGTAAAGAATATATTAAGCATAAGACAATATATAAGCATTTATAACGGAAATAAAAAAAATATAAATTAGTATTAATGTACTGAAATTACCCGGTTAAACGTGATAAACGAAAAAAAATTGTCTTAAATTCCAGTTAACACGGAAAACAATATATTCCTTACACCAGCAGTGGTTTGTTAATTCTGATGACCATGGTGATGCATCAAACTATTCTGTCATCTTAGATAATCAATCATATTTTTTATTTCAATTTAATCATCTATTTATGTCACACCTGCCATCCTCTGAAAGGTTATTAAGCATTAACAAGATAATCTTGTTAAAATTTTACGCCATAAAAATTGATTTATTCTCGTAATTTTAGATGACAATAAACCAATAATAAAAATAAAGCATTACTTAATTACTTAAAATGCATATGCATATTTTTGCGGCCTACGAAAACAAATTATTTTAGGAGTTAAAAACCTCATAGTTCTGCATGCTTACAGCTGTTAATAATTAAGAACACAACGTAAACAGCCGTGTTACAAATTAGCATTTACCCCTCCCGCCGTATTTCCTTCCTTTCATCCGGAACCGAAAACCGGCATCTATTCTACGAAAATATTTCTAATAAATAAGAGAAGAATAATATAAATCTGCAAATGCGAACAACGACAGTGATAATGCAACAAAGTGAACGCAAGAGGAATGGTTGCAAACTTCGAACAAGCGAATAGGATAAATCCGCTGGGTTCCCAGGTTGAACTATTATCGCCAAAGTTGGCAATGTTTACATTTACCGGGTTCTCTGCGGAAGTGCTTCCTCAAATTCGGCTACGAATTCGGATGCCGATGTCATTTTGGCAGAGTTATTGTTTACACAGTTTGAAGACTTTGCCAGTTCTGGAGAAGATAGACTTGATGTCCTCGTTGGTACCTTAAAAAGAATAAAAAGAGCTGATGGAACACCAAAATATGATAGACTAGCAAGAGTTTTATGTGCTATTCTCGTAATTCCACACTGTAATGCTGAGTGCGAGAGAGTCTTCAGTGTTGTGAAGAAAAACAAAACTATGTTTCGTTCTTCAATTTCACCAAAAACTCTAGAAAACATTTTAATTGCTAAATGTAATGAGGAAACTAATTGTTATGATAAGGAATTTTCCAAAGAATTTTTGGCTAAAGCCAAAAAATGCACTCTAAGTTCATTGCAATAATTTTTTTTTTGTGTAACATTAAGTTCTTGTTTTATGTTTCCTAATAAATTTTTTAGTTACTACTTAATTGAGATTTACTAATGTAAGTACAATTTTCTTTTTTCTATTTGTATAAATTGTTATTTTTTTAATATCAAAGCATGATATTAATTTTTGGTGTTCTTCTGAATTTTTATCTTTAGAGGTTGGCAGGTATGATATAGTTAATTTTCTGTGTAGTTTTGCTTGTTTCTTGCCAGCTGGTGTTAGTGAATGTCTCGTAAAATTTCCATAGTAACCTGTAACTTATTTTCATTTTACTCTTCTTTTTGTTCAAATCGTAATTGTTTGTGCAATATTTCTAAGCAGAACTTTTTTTTTTTTTCAGGTGATTCGCTCTACCCTTTAAAAACAGATTATAATGTCGAAAAAAGAATTTGTTCACAATTTATCAACAGATGACTTGGTTTTGTTAATTGACAAGAGAAGCAGTGAATTGCTTACTAAGCTGAATGATACTCGTTTTGGTTTTGAACATTATTTAAAGACACATAAATATGTGTCTGTCAATGGTGAAGTATGTTTGAAAGATGTAGAAATTATTC